TCACCAGCCCTACTATTACTTTTCTATAAGATTAAGTCTTTAGGGGCTGGAGAGATGGCTCAGTAGAATAAGCACTTTCCTGGCAAGCATAAGAGCCTGAGTTCAGTCCCCAGTTCCACCAAAAAAAAAAAAAAAAAAAAAAAAAGATTAAGTCTTTAGTTCCTGATAGTGGTGACTGGTGTTAAGTTCTATGTTTTTATAGAAATTGATGGTGTGTGTGTGTGTGTGTGTGTGTGATGAAAAAATTTTTTCAAAGCCAGACAGTTCAATATAGGGACAGATCTACATCAGTTTCTTGGGTACTGTACTTCCTCACTCAGCCTTGCTCCTCAGTGGTGCTATGTAGCAAAGGAACTAGAAGTATCAGATATTCTTTTGTGATAGTAGTTAGTTTTGGGTTTCCCCCCCTGAACCCCCACCATTCGGTGGAAAAGTATTCAGAGCTACTCTGTACCAGGGCACTCTTAAGACATAAAGAATAGAGCACTAGTGTGAATATTCATATTTTCTGTAGCCTGAGAAATGTGATTTATACCTTAACTATTTTTATTTATTTTTAAAATTTTGTGGGGGGGGGCAGCTCAGCCCACCAGAGGGCGAGGCTGGCTGGCATGTGGTGCTGGGGGATTGAACCGTGGTCGCTGTGCTTTGCTAAGCTTGTTCCAAGTAGGTGCTTTAGACCACTGAGCCATCTCACCAGCCCCCTGTCTTAACTAATGACAGAATTTTTGCTATTACATTTCCTGGTGTCATGTTTGCATCAATTAGTTTTGCAAGCTAAGATGACATTAGGGTTTTGGAGCAGGTAAGAGCAGTCACTGAAAACCGTCTTAGAGGCAGTCCTTCCTAACCTTATTGTTACTTGAAAGCAAAACTTTTAATTTCTGCACACAAAACTGTATATAATAACATAGCCTATGAACTTAATGAAATTTTATCTGTTCTGGTTTTGTTTTAGTAACAGTGCCTCAGGGGAGAGGTCATAACATCCAGTGATGAAAATCTCGTTACTCTTGTATTTGGTGCAAGATAGAAATTCTCCTTAAACTCATTTCTGTTTAGAGTATTGGATAAGAATCCATTTGACCTTCAATTCTAAGAGCTCACTGCATTTTTGCATCTTTTTCATGAAGTTGGAACTATTAGCTGGTCCATGTTAGACCTCCATTCCTCTGGCTTCATCAAAGAAGGCCACTTCATAATACCATTCTAAATAATAGGTCATTCTTTTCAGTAATAAAACCTGTTTTGGGCCTTATTATACCTCTACAGTATGTACTTACTAGTGAGACACACTTTAGTCGCTTCCTCCCACACTGCACCTTTTTGAGATTAGTAGCAGCCTTTGCTCATGGAAGCAAGAGTGTGCATTCCAGTGGGGTCTTGAGAAAGACCACAGGAAAGTAGCTAGGTTTACACGGATACTAAGGAGAGGAAAGGTTTTGTAGACTAGTAGAGTGAAGAGGGTAGAATTAAAAAGAAGTTAGCACAGGCTTAGCTGCTACCCAGATGTAAGTGATTAGCTTACCCCTTAATAATTATAGGAAAAAATACTGTATGTTATGAAATCTCATGTGATAGTTTGTGATTGCATTGCTAACCATCATTTGTCACTAGAGGACTCTCCCATCTTTAAAATAAGTAATTCAACACATGATAAGTACAGTGTAACTTTGAAACTAATAGTTACCATGAACATGAATTTAGTCATCATACTTACTAACATGGTGCCCCCAGGGGGGGATTGAATCCAGGGTCTGTGTGCTGTGAGCCAAATTCCTGGGCCTTTAAAAATGTGATTGATCGATCGATTGATTGATTGGGGAATGGGAATTGAACTTGGGACCTCAATCTTGCCAGTCAGGTGCTACACCACTGAGCTATATCTCTGGCTCTTAAACTCTCTCTCTCTGGCTCTTAAACTCTCTCTCTCTCTCTCTCTCTCTCTCTGTGTGTGTGTGTGTGTGTGTGTGTCTGTCTCTCTGTCTCTGTCTCTGTCTCTCTGTCTGTCTCTCTGCTTTGACTTATATTGATCCAGGGGCTGGACCGGCACAGCACACCAGGGATTGAACCCTGGCCCCTGTGTCTGCCTAAGCAGACGCTTTAATCCACTGAGCTATTTGGTGGCCCCCCCTTTTTTAAATTTTATTTTATTATTGTAAGTTACAGTCTTGCTATGATAGCTAGGCTGGGCACACCTCAGGACACTAGGATTACATGTCTGTCACCAGGCCTAGCAATCACTGAATTCTAGTTACTGCCCTGTTATTGAATCTTTATAATGCTGTTCAGAATAGGTTAGTTTGCTTGTTTTCTAGTAATGATATCGAATCCAAGGTTTTGTGTGTTCTAGGCAAGCACTATAGCACTGAGCAGTTCAGCCACACCCCAAACCTTAGAATGGATTCTTCAGGCTATCTGTAAAGTATGAGTTCTGTGATTGGTGCTGGGTACTTCTTGTCACCCATGCAGGTATGCGATACCTGTAGCCACCCATATCTACAGAAATTAAAATTTCAGGTAGGAGTAGTAATAAGTCTTTGTTTTTTTGGCGGAACCGGGGATTGAGCTCAGGCCCTTGCGCTGGCAAGCACTTTTTCTACTAAGCCATCTCCCTGGCCCCTGTAATAGGTCTTTAAAGAAAGTCTTTTAAGAATTTGATGGGGACTGGGGAAATAGCTCAGTTAGAGTAAGTGCTTGCCTGGCAAGCACAAGGGCCCAAGTTCAATCCCTAGTTCTGCCAAAAAAAAAGAGTTTGATGTCAAGACCTGCTTGGGCAACATAGTAAGTAATATATAGTAATCTGATTTTTAAAAAATTTAAGGGATTCAGGGGCTGGTGAGATGGCTCAGTGGTCTAAAGCACCTACTTAGAACAAGCTAAGCAAAGCACAGTTCAATCCCCCAGCACCACATGCCAGCCAGCCCTGCCCCCTGGTGGTCTGAGCTGCCCCCCCCACAAATAAATAAAATAAATAAAATAAAAAAAAATTAAGGGATTCAGATTACCACTGCATAATAATCACAAATTTTATGCATTTACATTAGACGGTAGTGAGTAACCTCCCCCTTTCTTTGATAATTGGTGGTTGTTCTTTTTTTAGGAATATATCTTTTGTTTCTTACTATTGGGTGTGGTGTAAAGAACAAAATTAAATACTCAGGTGTGTTGACACATGTTTGTGATCCCAGCACTGTGGTAGGCTGAGGCAGGAGAGTCTTATATCGTGTTTCTTTTTAATGTAGAGAATCTTTGGGTTATCTCACTCTGGTGAGATAGCTCAGTGGCGTAAGCGCCTGCTTGCCAAGTGCAAGGTTCTAAGTTCAATCCCTAGTACCCCCTCCCCCCCCCAAAAAAAAGAGAATCTTACGCATGTGTTTTACCGTATGACCTCATCTTGTGTGGATATAGAACATTTGTTTTTTGTTTTTGTTTTGTTTTGTTGGCAGAACCAGGGGTTGAACTCAGGCCCTTGTGCTTGCCAGGCAAGCGCTTATTCTACTGAGCTATCTCCCCAGCCCCTGGATATAGAACATGAAGAATAACCAACCAAACTAATAACACATTTTTTACAGCTACAAAATTTATTACAAATTTTGTTTGTAATAGTACATGTGATTTATTTATTTATTCCTTTTTTTAGTTTTTTTATTTTAATAATTTTATTGAGAAGGAAGGAGCAATGAGATAGTTTCAAAATAGGTTAGTAGTACAGTTATAACAATTTTTTTTTAAATATACTCTAAGTTGGCTTTAATTTTCTTTTTTTTTTCTTTCCAGAACCGGGGATTGAACTCAGACCCTTGCGCTTGCCAGGCAAGCACTTATTCTGAGCCATCTCCCCAGTCCCGTACATGTGATTTAGAGGCACAAGCTGTTTATTTTGTAATTAAATTCTTTTTTTTTTTTTTTTTTTTTTTTGGCAGAACTGAGGATTGAACTCAGGCCCTTGTGCTTGCCAGGGAAGTGCTTGTTCTACTGAGCCATGTCCCCAGTCCCTATTTTGTAATTAAATTCTGGAGAGAGTACCTGTATTGATTAGGAATTGAGTGAAAGTGGCACTGCCATGTCATTTATTATGTAATGCATAAGGGCATAGGCCCCAAGGACTGGCTTTATTCAGCTCCTGAACTAGCGACTTCTATTCGTTACTTGTTGGTCTTGAAGAGTTACTTAAATTTGGCCTTAGCATTTTCATTTTTAGGGTGAAAACTCTATGCTTAGGAAAATGAGCAGTCAAGTATCAATGGATAAATTGTGTAATATGTAGATAAAATGAAAGAACAGGAGACATAGATTAAATGACAGTATTAAACAAAATTTCAGAAGGTTGCATACAGTTTGTGGATCCTTACAAGATTATTGTAACTTAATATGAAAAGAGTAAGGGAGGTGTCACCCCAAAAAACTGGAATTAGATTTCTCAGACATTTCAAATGTCATGCCTGGTTGCTTACCTTATCTTTTTAACATCTTGATAGTGGTTGTACTGTATTTGTGATGAAGTGACTGTATGAATGGAAAGAAAAATACTTTAAATTCATTGATACTTTTAATAAGTTTTTTTTTTTTTTTTTTTTAAGGGAAGGGTCTACAGCGTGTTGAGGGTCTCACTACTAGATCAGACTCCTAATGATCCGCCTGTTTACAGCTTCCCAAGAGCTGGGGTTATGGGTGTGCACCACCATGCCCAGTCTCAAATCGCTGTCTTGGCGCACTCTGGGGGCTGGGCTGGAATGGTAGGCCCAGGGATGGAATCCCTGGCCCTGTACCTGCTTGCAGGCACTTTAATCCGCTGAGCTATTTGGCCAGCCCTGTTTTTGTTTTGTTCACCACAATCTTATATATTTCAAAAATAGTGGCTACACATGCTGTGTGTTTGTGGCACATGCCTGTAATCCCATTTACTCAGGATGTTGAGTCACAAGCATCACAAATTCAAGGCCAGCCCGGTTTAACAGTATCCTGCTCCTCTGTCCCTCAAAAGAGTGCAGATATTGATAGTGTGTTTCTAGACATTCTTGTCTTATTCAGTATAAACATTTCACTTTTTTTCTTCCTGTAAAAAATGGGTTTATACTGTAAATACTTGCTTTTAAAAATTTAATGGTAGCCTTTGTCATTGTTCCCTGATAGTACTCATTGCTGATTATTTTTGATCAATATTTCCCTTGTACTTCTAGAATGATAAATTTCACACTGATGACTAATGGTTTCTGTTCTCCATTGTATTCTTTTATATGGGATGCTGTTTAGCGTAACTAGTCAACATATATCTGTTCAGTTAATGAAAATTGTTTGAGGTAACCTTTCCATTTCTCACTGATCTGAAGCAATCACAGTCATCTGACCCTTGGGTTGTACATTGTATAAAGGATCAGATGCATGAACTTCTTTTGCAGTGAAGTCGTCCGTGTGATAGAGGAACTTATGTATGAGACAGTATCTCACTATGTAGGGCAGGCTGGCCTTGAACTCATGGCAGTCTTCCTGCCTCAGCTTCCCAAATGCTGGGATTATAGGTATGTGCCTACCATACCTGGCTTCGAATCTACTAATTTAGATGCAAGTAAAATTTTGTCTGTAGGTAATAGTTAAGCTGAGTACTGAATGATGATCAGAAGACAAAGAAAGAAGTGTATTTCAAATGGAGGAAACGTCTAGGACAGATCATAAAGCAGGAATTGGATCATTTTTGTACTTTTTAAAATATATGTTGGGGCCAGGGAGATGGCTCAGCAGAATAAGTGCTTCCCTGGCGAGCGCAAGGGCCTGAGTTCAATCCCCAGTTCTGGAAAATAAATAAATAAATATGTATATGTATAACTCATTGTATTTTTCTCTTCACAATTCAAGAATAGTTACCAATTAAATGGCATTGACTTAGAACTTTACTGTCCCATATAGCAGTTACTTAGCCATATATGCCCATTAAAATAAAAAAAATTCAGTTTTATGAGCCATATTTCAAGTGGTTATATTATTTAGACAGTATAAATGAGACAGCTTCAATGCTGCAGAGTTCTTTCAAAGATTTTAGCTCTGGAAAGTCAGAATATGAACTATTTTTTGCTCCTAATGTTTGATACATGCATGTTGAATAAATATTTGATAAATGGTGAAATAAGTGTATAGTTACATGGAAACAGCACATCAGTTCCTGGACAGAGAACAACAAAATGTGTTTAAACTTGTAGAAAGATCTGGTATGTTTGAGAAACTGAAACAAGACTGATGAGAACAAAGAGAAGAATGATAATTTCAAATCAACATTGAAGGGGCCGGGGAGATGGCTCAGTGGAATAAGCGCTTCCCTGGCAAACACAAGGGCCTGAGTTCCATCCCCGGTTCCACCAAAAAAACAAAACAAAACAAAACAAATAAACATTGAAGAAATTGGCAGCTTGAGCCCTGTTGGCAATGTGAAGCTTCCTGAATTTTGTTCTAAGTGCACTGGGAAGTAACGCAAAGACTTTTGTTGTGCCAGAAATGTGATTGGGTCTGGTTGTTACTTTTATCAAGTTCTTTCATTTTATTGCTTCATGAGCGCTTTAATGCAATGGTAAGAATAGTAGACTATTAAATTTTTGAAGTAGAAATCCAGATTACTCCATAAGCTTCACTTTTAGTGTTAGGACATGGACTTAAAAGTTTTAATGATCATGAACTTAACATACAAGAACTTACTTTTGTTTTCCAGTGAAGGTGGTGTTTTTAAGGCTCATCTCACTTTCCCAAAAGATTATCCCCTCCGGCCTCCTAAAATGAAATTCATTACAGAGATCTGGCACCCAAATGGTAAGTTTATCTAGTTTTACTTATACACTTGCAAATATGATGGGCTGTCATTAAAGATTTTCAGTCAGCCAGATGTGGTGGTACATGTCTATAACCCCATTAATTACATTAAGAGAATCCAGCCCTCAAGAGGCTGAGGCAAAAGAATCACCATGACTTTGAGGACAGCCTGGGCATCAGTGAGTTCAAGGACAGCCTGACTTATATAATGAGACCTCCATCTTTTTAAAAAAAAAATTGTTTTTCAAGGTCAGTAAGAAAGGTGCATTTCTCATTGTAATTGCTTTAGAATCCTCACACTCGGGGCTGGTGAGATGGCTCAGTGGTCTAAAGCACCTACTTGGAACAAGCTTGGCAAAGCAGAGGGACCGCGGTTCAATCCCCCAGCACCACATGCCAGCCAGCCCCGCCCCCTGGTGGGCTGAGCTGGCCACACACACACACACACACACACAAATAAATGTGTAAAAATAAATAAATAGAATCCTCACACTCAATTCATGGTGCACATTAAGTACATGGCCTTGTGTTAGATTTTTTTTTTTTTAATTAGTACAGGGTCTCACTATATACAGCTTGAACTCAGTGATTCTTCTGTTTTCAGCCTCCCAAGCACTGGGATTACAGACACGTGCCACCAAGCCCAGTCTCATTCACAGGCTCAGCCTGCCTCGGGGGTAGGGCCAGCATGCGGGCCAGGGATTGAACCCCCAGCCCCTGCATCTGCCTAAGCAGACACTTTAATCCGTTGTGTTAAGATAGGACTGTTTTAAGACAGGATTGAGTCATATAGATTATTTCAGTTTTTGAGACTCATGAATAAGGTAGAGTTACATTAATAGAACTCAAATAATTGAGGGGCTTCTGTTAAAAAAAAAACAAAACATACAAATCATTAAATCTGAGTTTAGAATGTGCTAATAGACCATAGGCAACTCCTAACTTTTATCTGTAGTCTTAGTTGTAGAAAAGGACTGCCCTGGCTGCACGTGGAAATGCACATCTGTAATCCTAGTACTTGAGAGGCTGAGGTAAGGGGATCATAAGTTCACTGCTGGCTTGAGGTAACTAGGCCAGACCCTGTCTCAAAAAGGGGTGTGGGGAAGGATGTAGCTCATTGTTAGAGCCCTTGCCTAGCATAAGCCTTCATTCCAAACCTCAGTACTGCCAGTAAAGAGAACTGCCCCACTTATTTCATAGGTGACTCATACAGTCAAACAAAATAACACTATATTTTTAAGCTTGGAAAGAATCCAGTACTGCTGTGCATGAAGTGATGACATTGAGTTTTTATTTATTTATTTTTTAAAGTTTGTTTATTATTTGGGTACCAGAAATAGAACTTAGGACCTTGCGCATGCCAGGCAGATACTTGTGCTACTAAGCTATTCCCTCAGCCCTGACATTGAGTTTTTAAATTTAAAGATGACCTGTGTAAAAATCTACTACGTGAGGTAGAGGCCAGGCCAGATAAACCCATGTTAATGTAATTTCCCCAAGTTTTGGTTTTTACTTGTATGATAAGGCTTACAACAGTTTCTTTGCTAATTATTTTGACTATGTAATCAGACTTGTTATTTTAGCTCTGTGCCAATGTATACTCTGCTTCTCATTGTTACAACTCATTTGGCAGACAATAGAAATAATATAGTCTCAACAAAAACCCAGAGGGGAGCTAGGTAAAATGTCATGTGCCTTTAACCCTAGCATTCGGGAGGAGGATATCCAAGAGTTCGAGGCCAGCTTGGGCTACATAGTGAGATCCTGTCTTTACTCTGACCTCCCCCCAGCCCCTTCGCCAATCAGAGAAGAATGTTTGAATGAGTAAATAAGAATTTATTAGAAGCATATGGAGCACCAAGGCTTGAAAAACAAATGGATATCATGAGAGGCTGAAAACTGTAAAATAGAAAACTACTTCTGGCAACAAAGGGAGTACTACATTTCATTCCTTGTGAGACAGCATTGATTTTAAAAGACAATTATTTTTCATATCTGTAAAGAAACAATATTGCTTAACAATTTAATTGTGAAAGAAGGTATTCATGATACTTGTACCTGAAGCATGGATACATGAATTGGTGATGTGTGCTTCTCATTGCTTTGACATTTCTTTTCTATTTTTCTAGGCTTTTGGCAGTTTTCTCTGCCTTTACTTGAATTACTTGATAAGTTATAAGTAATCTTTTTGTACCTGTTTCAAAAGAAAATATGAATAGCTTCTCAATTTTGGATTCACTATAAATGAGCTGTGTGGCTCTAGACGAATGATAATGGTGAACCCATTAGAACCTTCGTTAACAATGATCATCCTATTTTGGCACACATGCTACAAGTTTGCCACCATTGCTCTATGCAAAGCCTTTTTGAGCTTAATTTCTCTATGTGAATTTTTATTTGTTTAGGGCTCACTCTGTAAGACCTTGAGATTGCTTACATAGACTAAGGTGGCCTTCAACTCATGGCAATCTTTCTGTTTCAACCTCCTCTGAGTGCTGGGCTTGTACCACCATGCTCAGCTTTTGCAAAAATTGAATGAGAGCATGTATGTAAGCAAATACATGAGATTTTTCCTTTTTATATAAGAAAGGTAGCAATAGCTTTAGGAGTTTATAAGACAGTTGATGAAAGAAAATATTTTTTAAAAAATCAACACAGCATGTTTAAGTAAATGCAAAGAATTGATACTATTCTGTGAGTATTGTGAGCTCAGTGCAATGAAGCTAGAAATCGGTGGCAAAAGAGACCATATAAACTATGTGAACAAATATAAATTAAACAATAATCTCTTCAATAATCAATGGGTCACCAATGAAATGAAAGAAGCAATGCTGGCTGTGAAACTGGGCACGGTGGTGTAAGCCTGTAATCTCCACACTGGGAAGGCTGAGACAGAGGATCACTCTGAGTCCGAGGTGTGTAGGGAGACCTTGTACAGATAGATAGATAGATAGATAAATAAATAAATAAATAAATAAATAAAACCAATGGGGGAAAAAATATTTTTTTTTTAAGTTGAGACCTGCTATTTTGTAGGTCACTAGATAAAGAAACAATCAAGATTTGATTGAAGGGAGATGGTAGTGATGAATATGAACAGTTACTACAAAAAGAATTAGATGTAGGGAGTGCAAGGTCATAATGACATGGAAAAGGGAGGAAAAACCTGGGGGAGGAAGGATCTAATAGTGATGATCACTCAGTTGTGGTCCTTTCCTTTACAGATGTTTTGGTCTGTATTGGGGGGGTAGGCATTAACCAGAATAATGAAGCTATGGTATGATAATGATGGTAGGCATCTATGTTCTGGTAGTACAGGAGAGAGCCAAGAATTCTTAGTATGTTCTTGGATGGAATTTGGAATGATGAATATGCTTGGTTTGAGGTCTGTTGTGTTGGCCATGGAGACTTTATTTATTT